TCTATCTATCTATCTATCTATCTATCTATCTATCTATCTATCTATCTATCTATCTATCGCCTGCTTGCCTGCCTGCCTACCTCTATCTGTCTGTCTGTCTGTCTGTCTGTCTGTCTACCTACCTACCTACCTACCTACCTACCTACCTACCTACCTACCTATCTATCTTACATACATATGTGTGTCTCTATCATCTCTCCATCCATCCCACCTACCCACCTATTATCTATATCTACCTACCTACCTCTCTAACAAGATTGCCCTCAATTAACTTATTCTTGGCTCTCTACTATCAGTGGTGGAATAGGGAGTTTTTGTCCATTTCAAATTGTGGAGTTGTGCCAATTTAAGACTTCGGGACCCCAACTGCCATAATTTCCCAGTCAGCACAGCTGACAGAGTCATTCTGAGAATTGAAGCGTCCAAGGCTTAAAGTTAACCACGTTTGCTTTCAAGCTAGGTTTCTCAACCTTGGCAGTGTTAAAATGCCTGGACCACAACTCCCAGAATTCCCCAGCCAGCATGCTTTGAGAGGACTGGACTACCACTCCCAGAATTCCCCAGCCAGCGTGCTTTAAGATATTTGGACTTCATTTCCCATTTAACTGTATTAAATTAAAATGAAAAAAATAATAATAATCCTGGGGAGTTCTGAGATTTGAAGTTCACACGCCTTAAAGCATGCTGGCTGGGGAATTCTGGGAGTTGAAATCAGAACGTGCGCTCAGCTTTACATTGGCAAGGTTGAAAAATAACCGCTTTAAAACATATTCTGTCGTGGTTTAATTTCGATATGGGGACTGGTGAATTTAACTTAAATTGCTCGTTAAACAAACCCGATGTGTGTTTAATCCCAACTGTGTAAAAAAACCTTGCCAAATTTTGCACCGCCTGTATTTTTCGCCTGCATTTTGGGGGGAATTATGCTGTTTTCTACATCCTGGCCTCTGTGACTTCCATCGTGCTTGCTTTGGAACGGCGAACGAGTAGATTACCGAAGATCTTAGCGCCAATCACCAATCGGGTTTGCCCCGAGTCTTGGCTGCGTCCGAACTCATTTTATTTCCTCGCGTGCGCCTGGGATCACCCAGCAAACTGTGAAGTCTTACCCACTTGGGAAACGAACGTGGGGATGGATATCTTGCATCCGGGGGGGGTGGGGGGTGTTAAATTCCCCTGTTGTGGGGCTCAAATTGGCCCAGCTTGATTAGCGCCAGAAGAGGCATAAGTGAGCCAAGGAATAATACAGTGAAGCAAGCAGCCATTCTTAAGATAATGTGGCATTGGCTCATCACATTCCCACACCCAAGTTTTGCATCCTTCAACGCTGAGCTAAGGACTTCCAGCAAAGAGGTGTGTGTGTGTTTTTTTGCAACACATTCCCAGCCTCGCCCAACATTTTCTCAACACGAAAGAGAGATAGTTCAGCAGCCGGCTTCGTTTTCCCCCTAAAGCCGAAGGAATGAATACAGAACAGGTAATTTTCGACTTAACAACCTTTCATTTAATGGCTGTTCAAAGTTACAAAGCCCTAAGGTGACTTAGGGTGGTTTTTCATACTTAAGACTGTTTGCAGCGATGGGATCAGAATTCAGACGCTTGGCAACTGACTCGTATTTGTGACGGCGTGACACAAATCCCCTTTTGCGTCCTTCTGGCAAAGCGACAGAAATTTGGAGATCCACTGTGGCCGTAAGGCGAGGCACACTCCGCGTTTATCCCCCACGGCCCAACGAAACCTCTTTAGCACGGTGCTAAGCCGCCATTTGGCAATACCAGAATGGCTGAGTTCACGTTGTAGTCCCCAACAATCGCTTACGGAGTGCAGAAACCGATCGTGGTTCTTAAACCACAATTCATGGCTTAGCAGAGGGCCAGTAGACCTCACGAGCATTTGCTCCAGTGGAAAAAGCAGAGCATACATTTAATAAATTATGGTGAAAGGTTTCGGCTGCTGTTGATTTATTTCCAAGGGTGGTTTATTCGAACGTCGTGTAGGTGTTGGAAGCCAGAATATTTCGGAGTCGGAGGACGGATCTACACGGTTAAGTCCAGGGTGAGTTT